TCAACTTAACAGTAGTAATCTCACTTGCATTGATTTATAAATAGAAATTTGTCAGCGATTTGAATTTTTAGGATGGATGTTGATGATGTGCTTTTATATGTTAATTACTCTACGTATAAGTCTGTTATTTCGTTTTTATGAAACAACAGTAATTTTACTTACTCACGCCTGTTACTCCTAGTGGAGCAGAGGTAACCGGCTAACATTCTCCAACCAACTCTGTTCTTGGCCTTCCTTTACAGTTCTGTTCAACTGTTGTTCATTCTTTTCCTGTTTGCTTCCAATTCTCGGCGTAATGTGTTTTCTTGTCTTGCTCTTTTCTTTTGGACTTGAGGATTCTAATTTAGAGCTTGACTCGTGACTCAGTTGAGTGCTTTCCTCAATGTGCGTCCTATCCACCTCCAGCGTTTTTTCTAAATCTGTTCTTCAGCTCTTCTAAGGTTATTTCTAGTTCCAAGCTCGGATTAAAGAGGATAGTTGAGCATGGCGTCAGAGATCCTATATCGTAGATAACGAAAATGCTTAAACCGCCCACCAGAAAAATCGATTCAATCCGTTTAAACACTGTCCTGGTATTTAGAAGGTCTTCATTTAGAAGAGTTATGACATCTCATGATAAAAGCCGAGTTTCTTCGTAAGTTATGAGTTCCGTTTCCATTCTGACAAGCACGACAACCAATAGTTTTATTATTATTTGACACTAATGTTTTAATTAGTCTTCCAAAATATTCTTTTAAGGATACGTTCTGTTACATCATGTTGTTATTAATAAATAAATTAACCGCTTTTTTCATTAAATGATCGAAAAAATTTGAAAGTGATTTGTGCACGACTTGTGCCATCGTTCTGAATAATATTTTTGTTCTTCTCACTTGATTGTCGAATTGGTAAAATAAACTATACTCTCCCAGTAAATCTTATCTATCTTTATTACTTAACATAAACGGATGTTAATTGGATAAACATATAATTCACAAGTGCTTTTTCTTTAAAAACTCTTTTAAATACTTTGAAACAGTAAGAATATATAAGACAGTTTGTTAATACACTATATTCCATGTCTGTCAAAAATTAATAGCCTTGAATGGGAAACTATAAAACACTGATCTTGACTAAGCTATCATTGAAATATAAAGGCTTTGAACTTGATTACATATTTACATAACTGATTAACAAACATTTCAGTGGTCGAGAGTCTAAATACCCTCTGTTTTGGGGTTTGATCTTCAACAAGGCCACGAATGAACGCTGACGAGAAGTCCGATACCGACTCAAGACAGTTATCCTGTACTCCTTAGTTTAAAATGGAATTTTCACTAATCAAGATTAGAAGGCTTTTAGTATTTTACTTCTGTTAAGTTAATAATTGAATACTATCTGTAGAGAAAATACTGAGCAATATTTTTCCATGGATCCACTAATGTTTGGTATTTATTTTAAACCTGAATTTAAAATGTATGTGTACGAGTGTAGAACTCTGACATTGAGCTAACTGATAAGAAATATTTCTTCGGTCAAATTATAAATTTTTTTAAAAGTAACTATAGCTTATGGTTGGCTAAGCAAACTGGGATTAAATCAACAAGACAAAATGTGTAGGCAGCTAATACCGACCCAATCATCTAACTGATAAGGAATTTTTTCAGTGTATACATTACACAAACATTTTTGTTAATATAGGCTCTGAGCTTTTTCATACGACTAAAATTACGTGTTTTCAGTACATCATGATGAAACATCAACAAATTTTGACTCATCAAATTTAGACTTATCATATTGTATTTTTTTTTACACTGTTTGATAGATTGCATAATTTAAATAACATTTACCGACTACTGGTGTGGTGAAAATGTGTTTTACCAACACTTTAGAGAAACTAATCAAAATTAAGATAGCCAAAATTAAGTATCCATGGATAGTCAATTCGTTATTGTTGATAGCTTGTTATTGAAAATCATGATTCTTACCAGGTCCAGTGCTTAGACAAGATTGTATGATGGATTTTTTTGGAGGATGAATTGTTGTTGTTGTTGTCAGGATCTAAGAGTTAGGATTGTTAAGTTTTGCAGTATGTTAACAACTAGAAGTTAAGATTTAGCCATGTGACGCTACAATTATTTTCGGGCGGCCAGACCAAAACATGGCAGAAATCCATGAAGTCATTAACTAGTGGACTGAGCCATGTCGGTAATTGTCGACTACCTGGTTGGGGTCCGCGAGATGATAATAATCGATGGTTAGAGACCTTGAATGACAGGGCTCAAAATCGTTCGCAATGGCGCCGGTGCATTTATTCTTTGTGTTCTCTCAAACCCTAATCTTCTGGATTCTTCAACACCTCTAGTTTTGACTTTCTAAACTTTTCTCACTGAATCATACTTCTTGAATAGTATCTTCTAACCCTAACCTCTTCGATTACTTCTAATTCCCTTACTACCTCTACTACTATTGGATTTGAATTGACAATTATATCTCTGTGCTGATGTGGTATGGCAACATGAACAGATGAACTTACGTACGAAGTTCTACGTTGCATCTGACTGACTGACTGACTGACAATTATTTTCACCCTAATTTCATAGATATTTAGCCCAAATTAATTTCATAAATCATCTTAAGACTCTTGGTTCTTTGTAATTTTATTACTTTTCCCCCAAAAACTGATTGGTTACATTCTGTTAGGTCATTCTTAAAATCGCTTAACACCGTCGATCTAGTGTATGTAGTTTTATCACTGGTAATCTTGATAATAATAATTCAATAAATATATGTTTTATACATGTTTGATTGTAAGCAATGGAAAGTAAATATTCAATTTAATTTTAAGGGTGTATTTTACGATTGAAGTAGGAGTGATCCTGCTAATTTCATTCCTTTTTCATTTGGAGTTGTTTTTTGCACACTGAAATCATCAATCAATCATTGTTAGACCACCATTAGAAACGTGGGAGCACTGAACGCCCGTTTCGTCGTGGTGTGGGACTCACTAGCAGTGCGCATGCACGACTCCTGCAACTCGCAGGATTCGAACCCAGAGCATTCGGTCTTGCACGCGAACGCCCAACCTCTTGACCACTGAGCCGGCATCCAACGGTGTTAATGACCAACTGTGATCGGTCTACAGATTTTGCGCGACCTCAAACGTTTGTCTTTGGTAGTTACTGTCTACATCCATTAAAAAGTCTATAAAATCTAATGAATATCAATTATTTATAGATACCATTGAATATTAGGAAGCCGTGATAAATATTTTTGGGAATAAAGATTAAACTATTCAAATGCTTGTATCAGAAATATGTCAACTATGATTCTGTTCAAACCAAAACAAACTGAATCAGATTTTTAACTTGATCACAATACTATTCTATTCTATTCCCAACCAGAAATATCTTTAAAATAATAAAATGAATGATAATTTAGCAGATACCAGTCTGTTAGTGGTTGATGAACATGTTACGTAAACAGATGCATTGATAAAGTAGTTGACTACACTCGGGAATATATGAAAGTTTGATCAAAGGAACATTCTCATACTCACTTGTTTTTCTCTGTGTTCATAAGTTTTGACCATTCACAGGATCTCTATTTTATTTGAAAATGAGATGCAGAACAACAACAAAGCGTAAGATAATGATTGAGAATTGTTGAAAAGAAACCCTACTTGACCTAGGTTTCGTATGATTAGATACTCGTCACCAAGGCGTATCAATTTTCTAGAGGGAACTGATGCTCCCTGGATGATTTAACTACTTATCATCCATCTTCATGGTTAGAGGGGTGACCACTGGGCTAGTCCGGCCAAAATTATTTCCTATAAGGTGTATTTGCGTTGGCCGACCTTTAAGTAGTGGCCAATTTTAGATATGTCGAGTCCTTGTTGGCTTTGGTTAAATTGTATTAATCGAATTGCGACGTGTCCACTATCTGAAATGACTCGTTATCACTTGCACTATTGTTATGTAATTTGAGGACTGAAGGGAGTCTACAGGAATATGCATGACATATGTCATTAATGCATTAAAAAAGGTAATACCACTTTAATTGACAAAAAATGAGAGGTTTAAAACATTATTCCGTTTAATGAGAAGTGGAGACTAGTGGAGCTTGACCACATAAGACTTTTGAGTGATGTCACCAATGCCAGTTCATAGGCTTTCGCGACACTGAAAATCGATAAAAGTAAAAAAATGTTAGCTTTTGGATATTTAACTAGTGAATTAAGAGTAATGCGCTGATCACAAGGCCTAAGAGCTCCGGGATTCATAAAGTTATGGGTACACACTATTAAAATGTCTCAGGCCCTTAATGAACCAGTTATACAGCGCAGACGTTTCTTACATAAATTGCATGGATGCGCACTGCTGAGGAGTCCCATACTAGGACGAAACGGCCGTCCAGTGCTTCCAGGTTTCTAATGGTGGTCTAACAATGATGATTGATTAATGATTTCAAATGTGAAATATTTCCGTCGAAAACAGAAAACTGTAAAGTTGTTTTTGTAAGTGTTAGAAAACTAAATTCATCTTATCATGTTATCTATTTCCCACTGAAATTATTTACATTTATTCACACAAGAGTACACACATACACACGGAAACTATCTGTAATCCATCGATCATGTGACTCTGCATTACATGTACTTTGTGTGTATACTCAGATGATGAAATCAAAGTAAGGCACCATATTGATTGGACAATGAATCTGTTTATTATTTTTTATATTTTTTTCTAATGATTAGTTTCATTATTGTTAGTAAATGAGTTAAACGCCCACAAGCACATTATTATCAGTAATATATATATATATATATATATATATTTTACCAACCAACAAGAAATTTTAAATTTGTCTACCAATTTAAGTGTATCAGTTATGCGTGTGCGCACGCACAAAGGCTGCGTATTAATCGTATTGAATATTGACTATGATATATATATATATATATATATATATATATATATATACATAACAATCATATGTATACACTCAACTATTAAACTAGATGAACACATTAGTCCACGTACTGATACACACCTTTACACGCATACATACAAACATATACACTTTATAGGCATACGTAATTTGATATAATAAACAGATTACCACAGGAAACAACCGATATATATTCCGGACAAAAGTGACCAGCAATGATTATTTGGTATTCTACTTTTTAATCTGAGTATATTTCAATTATTTGATTTCATGGTTGACATTTCATACTTATTTGTCTAATAATTAATTATCTGGAATAATAAAATACAATTTGGAAAATTATACAAAAAGTTTATTGTTCTCAATTGGTGAAAATTAAAAGATAACGAAGAAATCTTTTGAAAACACACAAGATTTTGATCTTTATAACGCCTACAACGTAATCTCAACAGTGACGCTGAGGACGTGTCGAATAAAACAATTTTTTTGAACGAGAAAACAAACAAACAATCATCAAAACCATTCGATCGGACAGGGTGATGTATAACTTATCATTTTCCATTGAAATCTATTTTTATTTACATTGTGCATGGGAATATGGATAAAACAGTCGTATCGGATTTATTCACTTCTATGAAAACGATGTAATATTAGTAATTTTTACATGTGATAAACTTTAACTGATCTAATTATTTTTCGAGAGTGAAAGACAGATTTAAGCAAACCGAATAAATAATAAATAAACAATTGAAAAAAAATACAACAATCGATCAATCGAATCACCATAATTAATAATTACTTGATCAATTTATTGAATAATTATTAGTTGACAATTAGAACATAACATAACATAGGTAAGATCTCATTGAACTAATTCATGTTCAATTCCCAGTGGACATTATCAAATTTATCATCATCATTATTATTGTCAGTTGTTCTACATTTATCGCTATCACTACGACTAGTACTACTTTTATTACTACTACTAGTAATATCATTCATATTAGTATTATTGATTTTCACTCATTATTATTATAATAACTCATCTCATTATTCTGTCATCAGTTGGTTGAATAACTATCTATCGTCGGCAACTACATTCATTTCCTCTTCTCCCTATTTTACGGCATCACTATCACTGTCATCCTTGTCTTCAGCATCATGGATGTTTTGCATATTGTTCAGCTGTTTAGGTTTATGGTTATGGAGATTTGTATGTCATGTCAACACACAGTTATATCATCAAAAGGTTATACTATTATTTTTTAGAAACATAATCGGTAATTTTATTGGTAGTATTGGTAATTATATAATTTACAGTAAAATATATGCCATACTACTTGTATTGTGCACCGATTTAATCAATTTCATATCTAATTTAATCAGAGAGTGGAATGTAAGCAATGCATTGAAGAGCATAATTGATAAATCCATAAGATTTACACATCGTAAACATTCAAGTCATGGAATGAATACATTATTCACTTTATACCTTGGATTATTAATTTATGTAGAATTATGGGGATTTAATTATGTTGAAAGTAGACCGATTCCAAGTGGAGTGGAACGTAGATACGGTAATTTAGATTTGCATCCGTCTAAATCATCATCATTATCATCATCACAACAAAGAACGCCAAAAGTGGTTATGCCACCGTATGATCTTGGCTTTAAAGGTCAGAAGACTGATGAACTGAATAAAGCAGGTTCATCATCATCGTCATCTTCATTTTTCAATGATTTTAATAGTAACTTTGATCAAATGAAAGGTTTTCAATCAGATGAAACATATGTAAGAGATTCTCAAATACACCAGCAAAAACACCAAAGGTTACAACAAGAGCAACGCTATCAAAGAGTAAATCGTGATAATTTCAATTCACAAAAAGAGAACATCAATCATGATGATGGTGACGACAATAATGCTAAATTATTTAATGCCCAGTTGATTTATGATTCTAAATTGTCTAAATCTAATCATATAAATAAGAATAATGTCAGATCATATGGACAGTCTCCGTCAGTATCATCATCTATACCAGACAAGGAAATAAATGAACGACTTGATTATAGACGGGTAAACCTCGCACCGTCTAAGCAACCAATCCAACAACAAATACCCTATTCCCCATATAATCCATATGCAAAAATGAATGACTATCAAGAATCACTATATATACCTGATCGAAAAACCTTGTATGATGTTAATACTCAACAACAGTATTCACCGCAACAGGAAACAAACTGGGTCAGGAAAAACCAAAAAATGAATCCATATCAACGTCATGAGTTATATGATGATTATAGAGCTTATATGGATCGTGAAGATTCATCTAGTTGGTTTCCTATGCCATCTTATCAAAGTAATAATCACCACGAGAATAACCCATTAAACAATAGACTGCTGTATTCACAACAATCAAAATTACCAAATCAGCGCCAACAATCTTCCGGTATAAATAGTTATTTATATTTTGACACTCCAAACAATGATATCAGTAACAATTATCATAGTAATCAACGTAATCCATTATCATCTTTCCCGGAGATTTCTGATGTTCAATTATCTCACTTGATTTATCAATATCAAATGGAATTATTACGTCGACAAACTGGACGTCTAACTCATAATGATTATCAGTTAGGACATAATTATTACGGTCAGCCAGGGGAATCATCGTCACATTATTTACCTAGTAAGTTTATTACAGTTAAAAACATAATACTTTACTGTTTCTTTTTTAGCTTACACACAAAATAAACTTTAGTTACTTACTAGGGTCAACTGGATATTTAATAAGTATCAGGAAACATTTTTTGTATTTTATAATTCATCACGTTGGTTATAAAATCATTAGAAATCATGAAACGTTGCATATCTGTTTCATCCTGGTGTGGGACACCATAACAGGGAGCGTATGTGACGTCCTTAGGGATCGAACTCGGGACACCTAGATCTCATGGGAGACACTAAGTTAGTACCCAAATGTAGGTAACTGATCAAAATCCCTTGCTAGGAGTCCTGGGATAACTTTTTGAAATTAATAATCCCTAGTCATATAATCTCAACGTCCTTGGTCCCGTCAATGGTGTGGACGAAAACTCCCAAGTGCTACCATACTCAGACTTTCCAGTTATCTAGTGCCTCCTAGTTTATGTAAGTTATCTAAGGCCAATTTATGATATAATCTGTAAAATCTATCTACCTTACTCTGGATTCTTCTTTATTTTGTTTCAAATTCACCTTGAATGGAACTATTTTTTACAAAATAAAACTTAAAAATATGATATATGTTGAAATAGATGTGTATTGGTGAGTTGGTTTGAGTATCATTTTTATCCTTTTTACATGAAATTGAATAGGCGGATTAATTCAAATCATGATTATGTGAGTGGATCTGAAACTGATGAAACTTCGACTGCAAGTATAACATCTCTAGAATTACCGAGACGGAGGAGAAACTGAAAGAGGTTTCTTGTTTTTTCCATAGCATAAGTTAAAATGTAGTTGGTTATGCTTTGTGTATGCTACTCATTCGATAATCATATGATTAATAAGGCTTTAAGGCTGTGTCAATTAGTATAGTTAGAAACTATTGACATTTATTTAGCTCATGTGTGGGAGTCCTATCCTGAGAAGAAACAACTTTACAGTGCTCTTTAATTTCAATCGTACCTTATCTGAGATCAATCTATGAAGAATTCAACCTACCAATTAAATCAGTTTACATGACATCCTTTTAACTTAATTATCATATATGACTAGAAGTAGAAGTTGTGGAAGGTATTGCTTCAGTTGGTTTTACAACTCAAAATGTATTTTTTCGATACTTATCCTTCCTTTTTCTCTAACACACTATTGAATGTTGTCATTACGCCTTATATGGAACATTTCTTGATGCTGTATTTTGTATGACATTTATTTTTTAATGAATAAAAAAGTTGGTCAAAAGTTGTTAAGCTAAGGATAGTAACTGTCTTCATTCCATGATTAGTATTAATTTGTAAACACCTTGTAACTTGATTCTGTTCAATAATAACAAATGGTATTGTATATTTCTAGCACTATTAAACCCATTTATTATTGAAAGTGATTATTATTAGATTTGTTTAAACTTTAAATACATTCCATTTCTTTAAGATATTCGTTAATCCATTAACCAAGACTTACATTTAGAATATTTACATTTTGAGATAACGTTTATTTAATAATATAGTAAAATGATTTATTTCATTTTCTGTGTTACAACAAACAACTCAAATCATGTTTACTTAGTATTTTAAGGAATTAGCTCTAAATATCTGAATCATATGAAAGTAGTACGATCTATTCAGCTTCAAGATGTTCACAAGTTATCAGACATTTCTTATACTATTTATAGGGAAAGAAAATCTTGTGTTTGTTATCGAAATCGATGATAGAAAATGTTTGAATTACCCCATTCTTGATATTCTTGACGGATTTTTACTCGGTTATTGTTGATATACGTGTATCCACTTTGTTACAAGTTTTAGCTCGAATAGATGGAATGCAGCGAACACTGAAATCTAGGATGTATATTTTGTTCCTACGAACAGAATGATATAAATAAATATCAAACCTAATGCATAAATAATGGACTATCCAAACTGGATAACCCAGTTGATGACGCGTTTGTCGTTTGAACAGAATGCGTCAATACTGGAATTAAGGCATATCCAGCTGAAGAGTTCTGAATAGCATGAAACATTGGTTTAAGTTCCATTGTTAATCACAACCCGTCTATCCTATATAAAATGTTATTCTATATTTAGTCTTTATTTAACCTTAGTAAATCATGAATTCAAGTAACGTGCCAAAAAACAAGATAACTAATGAAGATGAGCAAGGTTTGTAAGGAGATACTGAAGTCAACCTCTTGGAATAATGTACATTGGATTTTTGCGTATTTTTTTTAAGTTTCTTAATGTAAACTATAAGAATCATTTAATGTACTTGTATAAACTATTTTATAACTTACAAATTATATTTGTAATATTCTCCACGATTAAACTTAAAGTAAATTCAATGTTTCTGTTAACAGTAGGGTTTAAGCTTCTCTAAGGAGAAGTAATGAATCATTAAAACTATTGAATATAAATACATGGTTATCCCACTTCTTTTGATCTGTTAATTTACTTGTATGTACGATGAGCAATACAGTGGTTTAGTATAACACAAACTAACATTTATTTATTTATTCACTTTCATTTCATGCATGCTGCGATTACCTTCATATTTACTTACATATATCTACTACGCCTAATGGAGCAAATACCATTGACCAAAGAATTATTTTTCTGGTTGGTGTTTTTTTAGCGGGTTGGATTTCTACAGGATGGGGTCGCTAACCCCATGCCCAGGGCTTAGGACCGGCAGGCGGAGTTCACGCTGTCATAAGTTTGATTAATAACTTTTCACAGCAAATGACTCATATACACCACAGCAAATGTAAAATTCAATCATGTAAACGTCATTTCACAATCTATTTCATACACTGTTGATTTATGAACAATATGTTTATATTTAATAATGGTAATGTTTAATGATTTCCCCTGTAAAGTTTAAATGAGAATGCTCATTGCAACATCGAATTTACATCCACTTCAATTGTTGAGATTTGTATAAATATAACTTTCTTTTTCTTCATTGCTACTGACATTGACACAGCATTCAATTACTGTGAAACTATACGTTCAATGTTCTTTTGAATAGTAAATAACACTTCACTTCAGATATATATTTAGACAGGACGGGATATTAGGTATTACAATAGTCAAGTTTTGAATTGAATACATAAATAATTTTGTCACTCTATAGAGTTCTAACTGTAATATATTTATATGTAAACCGATAAGATTTAAATACTCGATGAAACATTGTGGAATAGATAGATAATTGGTAAAAATATTAAGTTTTTAATCATTCGGTTGAAAGCTTAAAACTCCCATTCAACTACTTAGACTTTTGGTAGACCGCTATTACTGCTAGTGTTTTCATAGAAATGGCTTAATTCACACAAATAACTACTTGGAGAAGTACTTTGTCATACCAATCTTTGTGAGTTAGTGTTAAAGTATATTGAATTTTGAGTAGAGGAAACATTTTTGTTAATTTCCTTTGAGAAATTTAATATGTATCCTAATGAATTGTGAGGAGCTATCGGTAATGGTTTTACTATTGAATAATTGTTCTTAATTACATTTTTGGTTATTAAATGGTCGTCTACTGTATATAAAGATGTTATTTTATTTTAAGCATCATGAAGTTTATTGCAAATTAATCTTATGATCTCATTATAGTGTAAGCCAATATGATAATACAACTTACAAGCATTATTCGTATTATTTTTCGATATGCAATCTCTAATGTAAAAAGTTACACTCATTTATTGAATGGGTCGAAAAAATATGACCAACGACGTTAGATACACTAGATTGATTAGACGTTGCATAAGTTCCGAATCATCGCATCATTCTATTTAATCTTTATGTGCCAGTCGGAGAATTCGATTAAAAAAAAACAACCATTATAAATTTGAAAAAAATCTTTGGTGTTTTGTTACTAACAATGATAATAAGTAATAAATTAATTAAATTAAGCAGTCTACCAATACAGTTGAAAATGATACAGCGCTTATCTACAATTTAAAAATTAAAACAACAAGATTCATTGAACATTGACTAGGTAGTTGAATATCAAAAAATTATATATGCGGAACATTTACGTTTTTAAAAAAAAACTCTTTTTTTTTGTTACAAACATAACTTATTGTTTATCATATATAAAATCATTGATGCAAATCAGTGGAATTGGTTTCACTGAAACAAAACTCATTCATATTGAAAAGCATAACAATAATTTAATAACCATTTACCGTTGTTACAACTACTAGGGATGAACGTATTTAATAAAAAAATTTCTCACTATCTTTTCTACACATTAATAAACCAGTTATTTAGAAATATTGTGTTGTTTCACATAATCCTTCCTAGTTTGTTGACTGAATTCTTCACATATACCTCAATGAACTCAGACTCATTGTTAGATTTAAATATCGTGGTTAGAAGTAGTCTAGTGGTTGTGTGCTATTGAGAAATCTGCCATCTAGGATTTAGTAATTTCCCCTTAACTACTAAATTTCTTATCTGAACAAAAATGAGTTGCATTAAAATATATATGCATATGATGATAAGACATATCGTCATGAAAATATGTGCATTCTACTAAACTTATCATATATTTTCAGTTTCAGTGTAATGAAAATAATTTAAAAATGAGCGATTTATAAAAATCTATACAGAAAATTATTGCTGACTAGTTTAGATAGATTTTAATCATTGACATTAGAGCAGAACAATTATGCTTTTATAGACTATATGTTTGTGTGTGTAGTTGTGTAGTAGCATTCATGCACAAAATTTTCATTCATGTGAAAGTGCATTGTCAATAACAGTCCTACGAAGTGCTGAATATCGATCGACTATAGTTAGAGTGTATCATTGAGGTTTGAAGAATACTAAGTTAACAATTCATTGGCAGTGTTTACTACTTTTGATATCACCAAGGACAGAGCCCAGAAGAACTTAATCTGTAGTTTATGGCGTTGGAATTCTTAATTATAAGTTTTTTTATGGACTTATAGTTTTTTTCTGATTAAGCTGTACAGACTCATAC